TTCAGTAGTGCTAGTCTGAGCTGGGAGACTTCAGTAGTGCTAGTCTGAGCTGGGAGACTTCAGTAGTGCTAGTCTGAGCTGGGAGACTTCAGTAGTGCTAGTCTGAGCTGGGAGACTTCAGTAGTGTCAGCCTGAGCTGGGAGACTTCAGTAGTGTCAGCCTGAGCTGGGAGACTTCAGTAGTGCTAGTCTGAGCTGGGAGACTTCAGTAGTGTCAGCCTGAGCTGGGAGACTTCAGTAGTGTCAGCCTGAGCTGGGAGACTTCAGTAGTGTCAGCCTGAGCTGGGAGACTTCAGTAGTGCTAGTCTGAGCTGGGAGACTTCAGTAGTGTCAGCCTGAGCTGGGAGACTTCAGTAGTGCTAGTCTGAGCTGGGAGACTTCAGTAGTGCTAGTCTGAGCTGGGAGATTTCAGTAGTGTCAGCCTGAGCTGGGAGACTTCAGTAGTGTCAGCCTGAGCTGGGAGACTTCAGTAGTGCTAGTCTGAGCTGGGAGACTTCAGTAGTGTCAGTCTGAGTTGGGAGACTTCAGTAGTGTCAGCCTGAGCTGGGAGACTTCAGTAGTGTCAGATTCAGCTGGGAGACTTCAGTAGTGCCAATCTGAGCTGGGAGACTTTAGTAGTGCCAGTCTGAGCTGGGAGACTTCATAGTGTCAGACTGAGCTGGGAGACTTCAGTAGTGCCAGTCTGAGCTGGGAGACTTTAGTAGTGTCAGTCTGAGCTGGGAGACTTCAGTAGTGTCAGTCTGAGCTGGGAGACTTCAGTAGTGTCAGCCTAAGCTAGCAGACTTCAGTAGTGTCAGCCTGAGCTAGCAGACTTCAGTAGTGTCAGCCTGAGCTAGCAGACTTAAGTAGTGTCAGCCTGAGCTAGCATACTTGAGTAGTGTCTGCCTGAGCTAGCAGACTTCAGTAGTGTCAGCTTGAGCTAGCAGACTTCAGTAGTGTCAGCCTGAGCTAGCAGACTTCAGTAGTGTCTGCCTGAGCTAGCAGACTTCAGTAGTGTCAGCCTGAGCTAGCAGACTTCAGTAGTGTCAGCCTGAGCTAGCAGACTTCAGTAGTGTCAGCCTGAGCTAGCAGACTTAAGTAGTGTCAGCCTGAGCTAGCATACTTGAGTAGTGTCTGCCTGAGCTAGCAGACTTCAGTAGTGTCAGCTTGAGCTAGCAGACTTCAGTAGTGTCAGCCTGAGCTAGCAGACTTCAGTAGTGTCAGCTTGAGCTAGCATACTTCAGTAGTGTCAGCCTGAGCTAGCATACTTCAGTAGTGTCAGCCTGAGCTAGCAGACTTCAGTAGTGTCAGCCTGAGCTAGCATACTTCAGTAGTGTCAGCCTGAGCTAGCATATTTCAGTAGTGTCAGGCTGAGCTAGCAGACTTCAGTAGTGTCAGCCTGAGCTAGCATACTTCAGTAGTGTCAGCCTGAGCTACCAGACTTCATAGTAGGTCAGCCTGAGCTAGCAGACTTCAATAGTTCAGCCTGAGCTAGCATACTTCAGTAGTGTCAGCCTGAGCTAGCATACTTCAGTAGTGTCAGCCTGAGCTAGCATACTTGAGTAGTGTCTGCCTGAGCTAGCAGACTTCAGTAGTGTCAGCCTGAGCTAGCAGACTTCAATAGTGTCAGCCTGAGCTAGCATACTTCAGTAGTGTCAGCCTGAGCTAGCATACTTCAGTAGTGTCAGCCTGAGCTAGCATACTTCAGTAGTGTCAGCCTGAGCTAGCATACTTCAGTAGTGTCAGCCTGAGCTAGCATACTTCAGTAGTGTCAGCCTGAGCTAGCAGACTTCAGTAGTGTCAGCCTGAGCTAGCATACTTCAGTAGTGTCAGCCTGAGCTAGCATACTTCAGTAGTGTCAGCCTGAGCTAGCAGACTTCAGTAGTGTCAGCCTGAGCTAGCAGACTTCAGTAGTGTCAGCCTGAGCTAGCAGACTTCAGTAGTGTCAGCCTGAGCTAGCAGACTTCAGTAGTGTCAGCCTGAGCTAGCATACTTCAGTAGTGTCAGCCTGAGCTAGCAGACTTCAGTAGTGTCAGCCTGAGCTAGCAGACTTCAATAGGACAGTGAAGACAGTCACGTATTCATTAGAGGTCCAGCAGCTGCGGCAGCTTCAGAGATTTCCTTCCAGCAGAGCTGCAGTTACTATCACTTGATAATTACCCCTCCACTGCAAGTATCACCACTGCAAGTATCACCACTGCAAGTATCACCACTGCAAGTATCACCACTGCAAGTATCACCACTGCAAGTATCACCACTGCAAGTATCACCACTGCAAGTATCACCACTGCAAGTATCACCACTGCAAGTATCACCACTGCAAGTATCACCACTGCAAGTATCACCACTGCAAGTATCACCACTGCAAGTATCAGCACCGCAAGTATCACCACTGCAAATAACACCATTGCAAGTATCACCATTGCAGGTATCACCACTGCAAGTATCACCACTGCAAGTATCACCACTACAAGTATCACTACTGCAATTATCACCACTGCAAGTATCACCACTGCAAGTATCACCACTGCAAGTGTCACAACTGCAAGTATCACCACTACAAGTATCACCAGTACAATTATCACCACTACAAGTATCACCACTGCAAGTATCACCACTGCAAGTATCACCACTGCAAGTATCACCACTGCAAGTATCACCACTGCAAGTATCACCACTGCAAGTATCACCACTACAAGTATCACCACTACAATTATCACCACTACAAGTATCACCACTGCAAGTATCACCACTGCAAGTATCACCACTGCAAGTGTCACCACTGCAAGTATCACCACTGCAAGTATCACCACTGCAAGTGTCACAACTGCAAGTATCACCACTACAAGTATCACCACTACAATTATAACCACTACAAGTATCACCACTGCAAGTATCACCACTGCAAGTATCACCACTACAAGTATCACCACTACTAGTATCACCACTACAATTATCACCACTACAAGTGTCACAACTGCAAGTATCACCACTACAAGTATCACCACTGCAAGTATCACAACTACAAGTATCACCACTACAAGTATCACCACTACAATTATCACCACTACAAGTATCACCACTGCAAGTATCACCACTACAATTATCACCACTGCAAGTATCACCACTACAAGTATCACCACTACAAGTATCACCACTACAATTATCACCACTACAAGTATCACCACTGCAAGTATCACCACTGCAAGTATCACCACTGCAAGTATCACCACTACAAGTATCACCACTACAATTTTCACCACTACAAGTGTCACAACTGCAAGTATCACCACTACAAGTGTCACCACTACAATTATCACCACTACAAATATCACCACTGCAAGTATCACCACTGCAAGTATCACCATTACAATTATCACCAATACAAGTATCACCAGTACAAGTATCACCACTACAAGTATCACCATTGCAAATATCACCACTGCAAGTATCACCACTACAATTATCACCACTGCAAGTATCACCATTACAATTATCACCAATACAAGTATCACCACTACAAGTATCACCATTGCAAGTATCACCACTACAAGTATCACCACTACAAGTATCACCATTGCAAGTATCACCACTACAAGTATCACCACTACAATTATCACCACTACAAGTATCACCATTACAAGTATCACTAATACAATTATCACCAATACAAGTATCACCACTTCAAGTATCACCACTACAAGTATCACCTATACAAGTATCACCACTACAAGTATCACCACTACAATTATCACCACTGCAAGTATCACCACTGCAAGTATCACCATTACAATTATCACCAATACAAGTATCACCACTACAAGTATCACCACTACAAATATCACCACTACAAGTATCACCATTGCAAGTATCACCACTGCAAGTATCACCACTACAATTATCACCACTGCAAATATCACCTCTACAAGCTTCAATATTTGCACTACTACTACAAGTACCACTTGTAGTAGTAGCAGACATTACACAAATAACTCGAACGTAGGAACACAAAACTTCCCACGACGTTTCGGTCTGACTTAGACCATTAGCTACTGTGGCTCGTTAATGGTCCGAGCTGGACCGACACGTCGTTATCAGCTCCTCTCTCCCATGTGAGGTTTTCTTTGATCAAATGAATTCATATGCACACGTATACATGGGTACACGGGTCCAGGAGCTGTGATTCAACCCCTGCAACCACAAATAGGTTGTTTCTATACAGAGATTCACGCAGGGATTGCACTAAAGTCGTAGGGATTGAAGATCACCTAGGTACAATAGAAATAATCAAGTTTGATCCTAAAAGCCTGAGGGGTAGCTCCAGAAACACCGGATCAAGAGCCCTTGAAGCCACCTTGAAGCGGGGGTAATAATTTTTTTTTTTTTGCTTATGTTTTAAATTCATATTTCGCTAAAAGAAAATGGTACTCGCTCTGGTGACCACAGAGAGAGAGAGAGAGAGAGAGAGAGAGAGAGAGAGAGAGAGAGAGAGATGAGTGGGGAGTGGGAAGAGAGCCTTCTGCTTTACTATTATTTGTCTCAAACACCTAGATAATACAGGATAGTTCTAAATCTTGTTAGAAATAGATAGTTGTCAGTAGATTCTCTCAGTGTGGGTATTCAAGTGCTGTGCTAATTATATACTCCCATGTATTTCAGGTACCCCAATATACTCCCAGGTATTCCCATGTACTCCCAGGTACCCCACGTACTCCCAGATACCCTTTGCAGCCCCCAGCTACCCCATGTACTCACAGGTACCCCTATGTATTCCCAGGTAACCCCATGTACTCCCTTTGTAGCCCCAGCTACCCCATGTACTCCCAGGTACTCCCATGTACTCCCAGGTACCCCACGTACTCCCAGGTACTCCAATATACTCCCAGGTACTCCCATGTACTCACAGGTACCCCCATGTATTCCCAGGTAACCCCATGTACTCCCACATACCCCTTGTATCCCCAGGTACCCCATGTACTCCCAGATACTCCCATGTACCCCCAGGTACTCCCACGTACTCACTGGTAATAGTGATGATCTTGAAGTTCTTGACGACGTGTTCCACGGCTGGGTTGACAGCTCGACACTCGACCATGACCTCTGTCAGGTTGTGCTGACCCACGGGATGCTGACCCAGGTGAGAGAAGGTCACCCACCCACCATCCTCCTGTCTCTCTACTACTGACTTGATCTCTTCAAGTGTCTCTCCTGGGCAATTGAAGGGGGTGGTTAGTACGTGTGTGCGTGTATAAAAATGCATCTATTGTTACTGAAGATTGAGATACTTATGCAACATATGTTGAATAAGTATCACAACATATGTTGCATTGGTGTTGCAGTCTTCAACTTGTAGGTTTTCAAAATCATTTATCACATCTATTGTTATTTCTCTAATATGACTACAAATACAAAAACCTTCCCTCTCTCCCTCCCACTCTCCATCCTTCCCTCCCTCCCTCTCTCTCCCTCCCTCTCTCCCTCCCTCCTTCATTACCCACCTGCCACAGACCAGCTGAGAGAGGCTGGGGGGTTGGAGACGCTGGTGGTGCAGGTAAGGTCGAGAGTCTTGCCCTCCTCAACCTGGGAAGGACCCGTGATGCTTACCAGCCTCGGTGCATCTGAAGACCAAACCCGAGATAATGAACAGCTGGGATGCTGTACACACACACACACACACACACACACACACACACACACACACACACACACACACACCATCTAAACTCATATTTCTGTTATTTTCTTATTAAAAACTCAAGTCACTTGACTGATCCAGCGCTGTACGTCAAGGAACTACTTAGGTCGAGTGTTAGAGTTGTGAAGAGGGTCACAGTAAGTCTCGAGAACGAGACTAAGCTCTTGTATGAGCTTAATTTCAGCTCAAAAGTCATAGAGAGAGTTTGTACTAAACGAGTCTTAAGTACAGAAGAGTAATTAATGTGAGTACATTAGGATATTGTGCATCAGGATGTTGTACAACAAATAATGTGTCCAGATGATGAACAATTGTGTCCGGATGTTGAAGAACAATTGTGTCCAGATGTTGAAGAACAATTGTGTCCGGATTTTGAAAAACAATTTGTGACTGTATGTTAAATAACAATTGTGTCTGGATGATGAAGAACAATCAGTGTGTCCGAATGATGTTTTTAGTTTCCATGTGATAACTTGTCAATACCTCTTCCGATCGACTTGAAACCTTCAGCGTAGATACATTTAACCGCATTCGAAACTGATGCCGCACTCTGCCCTATTCTGATCTGCATTGAGATAGAAGGGGCTGGGTTTGCTGGATACAGGGATGCACTTGTCGGATCCCATTCACAAACAGTCCGAATTATGACTGTTTATAAAATCCTGTGAGGCTTCTGTTGACGCAACTTCTCAAACAGTGACGCAATGACTGTTTAACAACAGTAACGCATTGACTTTTTAACACCAGTGACGCATTTAGTGCTTAACAACAGTGACGTATTGGCTGTGTAACAACAGTGACGCACTGAGTGCTTAACAACAGTGACGCATTGGCTGTGTAACAACAGTGACGCACTGAGTGATTAACAACAGTGACGCATTGGCTGTATAACAACAGTGAGGCACTGAGTGCTTAACAACAGTGACGCATTGGCTGTGTAACAACAGTGAGGCACTGAGTGCTTAACAACAGTGACGCATTGGCTGTATAACAATAGTTAATGCGTCCATAACAAAACTGATACCCAGTTTTCGGACGATACCGATGCTACAAAATTAGCCGATAACCATTGGTAACAATGGATAACCATTGGTAACAATGGATAACCATTGGTAACAATGGATAAGCATTGGTAACAATGGATAACCATTGGTAACAATGGATAACCATTGGCAACATGGATAACCTTGTAACAATGGATAACCATTGGTAACACATGGATAGCATTGTAACAAATGGTTAACCATTGTAGACCATTGATGAATATTAACAACAATTGCAGTACCAATAAATTTATTTTAGCTCATCGAGCAGTAAACAGTCATTAGACAATTATGAAAGGGAAAATTAATGGGAATTTTCCCCCAAGTGTGAGGGAGTGTGTAGGGGGCGGGGTAAAAAGTGCTGCTGGCAGGGTAGAAAAAATGTGGATTTTCTTTCCCATGTCTAGTTGATCGTTATGACAAAGTTGGGGAATTATTCCACGTTGGAGCATTTGTATTGTCGCTGTGTGTGTTAAGTTGTTGTTGTGTTGTTGTTGTGCTGTGTTGTTGTCGATGTTGTGTGTTAGTTGTTGTTGTTGTTAAAGTTGTTGAGTTGTTGTTGTGTTGTTGTTGCTTGTTGTTATGTTGTTGTTGGTGTTAGTTGGTGTTGTTGTTGTTGGTGTGTGTTGTTTGTCTGTTGTTGTTGTTGTTGTTGTTGTTTGTTCGTTGTTGTTGTTTGTTTGTTGTTGTTGTTTGTGTTGTTGATTTTGTTGTTGTTGTATTTGTATGTTGGAGTGTTGTTGTTGGTGTTGGATGGTTATGTTGTTATTTTGGTTGTTGTTGTGGGTGCGTGTGTTGTTGTTGTTAGTGTGTTTTTTGTTGTTGTTGTGTTGTGTGTTGTTGTTGTTGTTTGTTGTTGTTGTGTTGTTGTTGTTGTTGTTGTTGTTGTTGTTGTTGTTGTTGTTGTTGTTGTTTGTTGTTGTTGGTGTTGTTGGTGTTGGTGGTGGTGTTGTTATTTTGGTTGTTGTTGTTGCTGCGTTGTGTTGTTGTTGTTGTTGTTGTTGCTATTGTTATTGTTGATGATGTCGTAGATGTTGGTTGTTGGTGTTGGTGGTTGTGGTAGTGATGCTGTTGTAGATGTTATGGCTGTTGAGTGTTTTATGTTGTGGTTGTTGAGTTATGATGCTGCGCAGCTGTTACTGGTTGCGCTTTTGCTTTTGTCACTGCGTCGTTGCTGAGTGTCGCTGGCTGTTGTGGTCTGTTAAAGTGTTGCACAGAGACAGGTACGCGGAAGCAGAGGAAGAGAGAGAGAGAGAGAGAGAGAGAGAGAGAGAGAGAGAGAGAGAGAGGAGAGAGAGAGAGAGAGAGAGAGAGAGAGAGAGAGAGAGAGAGAGAGAGAGAGAGAGAGAGAGAGAGAGAGAGAGAGAGAGAGAGAGAGAGAGAGAGAGAGAGAGAGAGAGAGAGCTGCAAGTTTTCACAACGAAGATTAGCATATTGGTCATTTTTTAGCAAGCAGCTCCTTCAAGATTTCCCCCAAAATTCTGGGCCAGGTCGAGCTAACTTTCGAAATAAAAATCCTTTACTTTGCTTAGCTAATGTATTTACTTCGAGTCGCCCCTTAATAAGTCCCCTTTCTTACCATCTGCTCTGACTTTATTGAGAAAGCCTCTAATTTTATTAATGGTAATCAGTTTTCCACTAGATTAAGTTATGCAGTGATGTTTGCTTAGTACTCGTGGGTCAAGGAATAAGAAGCATGTACAGAACATGTCCTAACAGCTGTTATCTTCATTGGTTCGTTTAGGAGTCCAGCCATAGAATTTTTTTTTATTAAGTAATTTCTAGGTGTAGATTTTATTACTTGGTAAGTTTATTGCAATAAAGATACGTAAGTGTTGTATACAGTTTGCATGTGTCGTCTACTGTGCATGTGTTTGTCTATATACTTCCGCATGTACACACCTGGTATGTACATAGTTGGGCAAGTACACACCTGGTAAGTATGTTCTTTGGCATGTGCACACCTGGGTATGTACATAGTTGGGCATGTACACACCTGGGTATGTAAATAGTTGGGCATGTAACACCCTGGGTATGTACATAATTGGGCATGTACACACATGGGTATGTACATAGCTGGGCATGTGCGCACCTGGGTATGTGCAAAGTTGGGCATGTACACACTTGGGTATATACATACTCTGGCATGTACTCACTTGGATATATACTTGCCATATACTCACTTGGGCATGTACTCACCTGAGTATGTACTCACTTGGATATATACTTGCCATATACTCACTTGGGCATGTACTCACTTGAGTATGTACTCACTTGGGCATGTACTCACTTGAGTATGTACTCACTTGAGTATGTACTCACTTGAGTATGTACTCACTTGGGCATGTACTCACTTGGGCATGTACTCACTTGATATTACTTCACTTGGGCATGTACTCACTTGAGTATGTACTCACTTGGGCATGTACTCACTTGGGCATGTACTCACTTGAGTATGTACTCACTTGGGCATGTACTCACTTGGGCATGTACTCACTTGAGTATGTACTCACTTGGGCATGTACTCACTTGAGTATGTACTCACTTGGGCATGTCACTCCACTTGGCATGTACTCAGTTATATGTACTCACAATTAGGCATGTACTACACTTGAGTATGATACATCACTTGGCATGTACTCACTTGAGTATGTACTCACTTGGGAAACACATACACAGTACTCACTTGGGCATGTACTCACTATAGAATATGTACTCTCACTTGGGCATGTCTCCCCAGCTCATGCTATGTACTCACTTGGGCATTGTACTGCACACTCCTGGGCATGTACTCACTTTAAGTACATGACCACTTGGGTTGTTCTCACCTGGTATGTACTCACTGGCATGTACTCACTTGAGTATGTACTCACTTGGGTATGTACTCACTTGAGTATGTACTCACTTGAGTATGTACTCACTTGGGCATGTACTCACTTGAGTATGTACTCACTTGGGCATGTACTCACTTGAGTATGTACTCACTTGGGCATGTACTCACTTGAGTATGTACTCACTTGGGCATGTACTCACTTGAGTATGTACTCACTTGGGCATGTACTCACTTGAGTAATGTACTCACTTGGGCATGTACTCACTTGAGTATGTACTCACTTGGGCATGTACTCACTTGAGTATGTACTCACTTGGGCTTGTTCTCACCTGGGTATGTACTCACTTGAGTATGTACTCACTTGGGCATGTACTCACCTGGGTATGATTGGAATGGTATGGTGGTATCACCACACCTTCCATTTACACCCAGGTGTTATACATTAGTTATATTAACAACAACAACAACAACAGCAACCCAAGAACAACAATAAAAACAGATAAAACAGGAAGAACAACAACACAGCAACACAACATCAGCAACAATAGCAACAACAACAACACAACGGAAACACATACAACAGCACCACCAACAACAAGAACAGCAGAACACAACAATAACAACATCCAAAGAAACAACAACATAACTCTCCATCCTTGAATCAAGATCCCTCCCCAGCATCAATGCTCTCCTCATCTCCCCTTCCACCCATCTCCACAAGGAGATAAATTCGTGGCTGGCCACACCACGTCCTACATCCTACCCAACTTTCAACTACAGTGGACCCCCGGTTAACGATATTTTTTCACTCCAGAAGTATGTTCAGGTGCCAGTACTGACCGAATTTGTTCCCATAAGAAATATTGTGAAGTAGATTAGTCCATTTCAGACCCCCAAACATACACGTACAAACGCACTTACATAAATACACTTACATAATTGGTCGCATTCGGAGGTAATCGTTATGCGGGGGTCCACTGTAATGCCCAATTAACAAATTTCAATTTCACTCTCAAGTGAAGGATTCCCTTTGCGAATCAAAATTAGTATTGTTGTCACTGATAACAGATGAGCAATTGAAAGGTCAACAACAGACACAAAATCGCATGTGCTTTCTGCAACAGCATATTTGCTTCCAAATTCCAAATTTTGCATCCGGTTGGAAATTTGATGCATATTTCAATATTGTGGATATGAATATTTCCCCCCTGGAAAAAAATGAATATATATACAGGGCGATTTAATAAATATTTTTATAAAATTGTCGAGTGCACGACCAGGGTTCGTCGATAATCTTCTTGGGGATTAAAGCAGCGATTTTCTATAAACATTCCCTGCCTTTGCAGCAGATTTCTCTAATACAAACTGCCCATTTATATTGCAGCGCCGTTGTACTCAACCTCTGAACTAAATGGTACCACTTCTGTGGGCGCAGTACTCACTGGAATAGAACAGTTGTTGTACACACACACACACACACACACACACACACACACACACACACACACACACACACACACACACACACACACACACACACACACGCATGCACGCACACACACACACACACACACACACGCATGCACGCACACACACACACACACACACACACACACACACACACACACAACACACACACACACACACACACACACACACACACACACACACACACACACACACACACACACGCATGCACGCACACACACCCATACTTACAGTAGACAGTGAGGGTAACATTTGCTGTCAGTGGGTTTTCCAACAGATCATTAGTAACGCTACACTCGTATACGGCTCCGTCTTCCTCTGCCGTCACCTTAACCTCGTAAGCGTTGTACACTCCGGTAGCGTCAACTGCTGTGGTATCGTCTAGGAGGCGTCCCTCGCGATACCACAGCACCCAGGGGCGTGGATTACCCCCGGATACCCTGCAGGAGAGGGTGCGGCGCTCCCCAGCCAATAGAACCTCCCCTGTGGTGTAACCTGAGATGGTGGGGTGCCCTGGGGGATCTATGGAGACAGAAAAGGTAGAGAGATTAATTTGTTAACGTAAATTGCGTACATTAGAAGCCAATTTCTATTATTACATATTATTGTGACAGTGTGGGAATCCGCACGGTGTAGCTATCCTGTTCTATATGATCCTTACAATAGAGAAACAAGCACAGTGAAGGATTATTCAATGTGATAGACTTAGTACACCCTCAGTGTAAAGACTCTGTCCTGAAAGACAGATACATTCATGGAATACCTGCAGTGTACTGCCATGATACTCTGTATATGATAGCTACATTCTAGAAAGGAAAGAAATTTATGCTTCCTAGACATGCTTCCTTACACAGGATGACTTTCATGCCGGTCTCTTCCAGCACAGTTACTTTTACGTGGGGATTATTAGAAGAAGTGTATATATATATATATATATATATATATATATATATATATATATATATATATATATATATGTCGTGCCGAATATGTAAAACTGGTCAATTAGCAAGAACTCATTTAAAATTAAGTTCTTTCTGACATTTTCTCTTATATGTTTAAAGATATATTTTTTTCATTAATGTTAATGTAAAAATTTTTAATTTTCCACCAAAAGAATCTTAGAAAACTTACCTAACCTTACTATAACAAGAGCAATTTATTTTAGACTAACCCAACTAAATATATTTTAGATTTGTTTACAGTAATTTAATACTAAACAAACACAGTGAAATATATATTTTTTCGTTAGGTTCACAATTATTTTGGCGAAATTATCGCATACACAAATTTTCACTTGCCCTATATGGCAAGATGAGTGTTGCTATTTAAGCTAAGATGGCAAGTTCTGCCTATTCGGCACGAAATATATAATATATATATATATATATATATATATATAATATATATATATATATATATATATATATATAATATATATATATATGTCGTGCCGAATATGTAAAACTGGTCAATTAGCAAGAACTCATTTAAAATTAAGTCCTTTCTAAAAATTTCTCTTATACGTTTAATGAATATTTTTTTCATTAATGTTAATGTAAAAATTTTTAATTTTGCTCTAAAAGAATCTTAGAAAACTTACCTAACCTTATTATAACAAGAACAATTTATTTTAGCCTAACCCAACTAAATATATTTTAGATTTGTTTACAATAATTTAATACTAAACAAACACAGTGAAAATATATTTTTTTCGTTAGGTTCAGAATGATTTTGGCGAAATTATTGCATAGACAAATTTTCGCTTGTCCTATATGGCAAGATGAGCGTTGCTATTTAAGCCAAGATCGCAAGTTCTGCCTATTCGGCACGACATATATATATATATATATATATATATATATATATATATATATAATATATATATATATATATATATATAATATATATATATATAATATATATATATATATATATATATATATATATATATATATATATATATTGGGTAGTTGGTTTGTAGACAGCAACCACCCAGGGAGGTACTACCGTCCTGCCAAGTGAGTGTAAAACGAAAGCCTGTAATTGTTTTACATGATGGTTGGATTGCTGGTGTCTTTTGTCTGTCTCATAAATATTAAAGGCATTTCTTGCTACTTCTACTTACACTTAGGTCACACTACACATACATGTACACATTTATTTATACACACTCATCTGAGTTTTCTTTGATTTTATCTTAATAGTTCTTGGTCTTATTACTTTTCCTTTTATATCCATGGGGAAGTGGAATAAGAATCTTTCCTCCGTAAGCCATGCGTGTTGTAAAAGTCAACTAAAATGCCGGGAACAATGGGCTAGTAAACCCCTTTTCCTGTAAAGATTACTAAAAAGAATAATAAGAAGAAAATTGTCAAAGTGGAAAGTCTGAATGTGCGTGGATGTTGTGCGAATGATAAGAAAGAGATGATTGTTGATGTTATGAATGAGAAGAAGCTGGATGTTCTGGCTTTAAGTGAAAGAAAGCTGAAGGGGTGGGAGAGTTTCAATGGAGATGAATAAATGGGATTAGGTCAGGGTTTCAAATAGAGTTAGAGCTAAAGAAGAAGTAGCAATAATGTTGAAGGATAAGCTATGGCAGGAAAAGAGGACTACAAATGTATAAATTCAAGGATTATGTGGAGTAAAATAAAGGATTTGGGTGTGAAAAGTGGGTTATAGTAAGCGTGTATGCACCTGGAGAAGAGAGAAGTGTAGAGGAGAGAGAGAGATTCTGGGAAATGTTGAGTGAATGCGTGGGGAGTTTTGAATCAAGTGTGAGAGTAATAGTGGTTGGGGATTTCAATGCTAAAGTGGTTAAAATGTTATGGAGGGAGTAGTAGGTAAATTTGGGGTGCCAGGGGTAAATGTAAATGGGAGCCTTTAATTGAGCTATGTGTAGAAAGAAATTTGGTAATAAGTAATACATATTTTTTTGAAAAAGAGGATAAATAAATATACAAGGTATGATGTAGCACGTAATGAAAGTAGTTTGTTAGATTATGTATTGGTGGATAAAAGGTTGATGGGTAGGCTCCAGGATGTACATGTTTATAGAGGGGCAACTGATATATCGGATCATTATTTAGTTGTAGCTACAGTTAGAGTAAGAGGTAGATGGGAAAAAAGGAAGGTGGCAACAACAAATAAGAGGGAGGTGAAAGTGTATAAACTAAGGGAGGAGGAAGTTCGGGCGAGATATAAGCGACTATTGGCAGAAAGGTGGGCTAGTGCAAAGATGAGTAGTGGGCGGGGGGGGGGGTTGAAGAGGGTTGGAATAGTTTTAAAAATTCAGTATTAGAATGTGGGGCAGAAGTTTGTGGTTATAGGAGGGTGGGGGCAGGAGGAAAGAGGAGTGATTGGTGGAATGATGAAGTAAAGGGTGTGATAAAAGAGAAAAAGGTAGCTTACGAGAGGTTTTTACAAAGCAGAAGTGTTATAAGAAGAGCAGAGTATATGGAGAGTAAAAGAAAGGTAAAGAGAGTGGTGAGAGAGTGCAAAAGGAGAGCAGATGAAAGAGTGGGAGAGGCACTGTCAAGAAATTTTAATGAAAATAAGAAAAAAATTGGAGTGAGTTAAACAAGTTAAGAAAGCCTAGGGAAAGTATGGATTTGTCAGTTAAAAACAGAGTAGGGGAGTTAGTAGATGGGGAGAGGGAGGTATTAGGTAGATGGCGAGAATATTTTGAGGAACTTTTAAATGTTGAGGAAGAAAGAGAGGCGGGAATTTCATGCACTGGCCAGGGAGGTATACCATCTTTTAGGAGTGAAGAAGAGCAGAATGTAAGTGTGGTGGAGGTACGTGAGGCATTACGTAGAATGAAAGGGAGTAAAGCAGCTGGAACTGATGGGATCATGACAGAAATGTTAAAAGCAGTGGGGGATATAGTGTTGGAGTGGTTGGTACTTTTGTTTAATAAATGTATGAAAGAGGGGAAGGTACCTAGGGATTGGCGGAGAGCGTGTATAGTCCCTTTATATAAAGAGAAAGGGGACAAAAGAGATTGCAAAAATTATAGAGGAATAAGTTTACTGAGTATACCAGGAAAAGTATACGGTAGGGTTTATAATGAAAGAATTAGAGGTAAGACAGAATGTAGGATTGCGGATGAGCAAGGAGGCTTCAGAGTGAGTAGGGGATGTGTAGATCAAGTGTTTACATTGAAGCATATATGTGAACAGTATTTAGATAAAGGTAGGGAAGTTTTTATTGCATTTATGGATTTAGAAAAGGCATATGATGGAGTGGATAGAGGAGCAATGTGGCAGATGTTGCAAGTATATGGAATAGGTGGTAAGTTACTAAAGGCTGTAAAGAGCTTTTATGAGGATAGTGAGGCTCAGGTTAGTGTGTGTAGAAGAGAGGGAGAATACTTCCCGGTAAAAGTATGTCTTAGACAGGGATGTGTAATGTCACCATGGTTGTTTAATATATATATAGATGGGGTTGTAAAAGAAGTAAATGCTAGGGTGTTCGGGAGAGGGGTGGGATTAAATTATGGGGAATCAAATTCAAAATGGGAATTGACACAGTTACTTTTTGCTGATAATACTGTGCTTATGGAAGATTCTAAAGAAAAATTGCAAAGGTTAGTGGATGAGTTTGAGAATGTGTGTAAAGGTAGAAAGTTGAAAGTGAACATAGGAAAGAGTAAGGTGATGAGAGTATGAAATGATTTAGATAAAGAAAAATTGGATATCAAATTGGGGAGGAGGAGTATGGAAGAAGTGAATGTTTTCAGATACTTGGAGTTGACGTGTCGGCGGGTGGATTTATGAAGGATGAGGTTAATCATAGAATTGATGAGGGAAAAAAGGTGAGTGGTGCGTTGAGGTATATGTGGAGACAAAAAACGTTATCTATGGAGGCAAAGTAGGGAATGTATGAAAGTATAGTAGTACCAACACTCTTATATGGAAATAAATGGTATAAAATACCGACACAATGGAAATATAAACACAAATGCAGTATAATGTGATCCTTTATTGACAACGTTTCACCCACACAGTGGGCTTTTTCAAGTCACACACGGTAGATCCGTGTGTGACTTGAAAAATCCCACTGTGTGGGTGAAACGTTGTCAATAAAGGATCACATTATACTGCATTTGTGTTTATATTTCCACTCTTATATGGGTGTAAATATTATGCAGAAAATTCGGAGTGTGGAAATTAGGAGAAGGTGTGGAGTTAATAAAAGCATTAGTCAGAGGCAAAAGAGGGGTTGTTGAGGTGGTTTGGTCATTTAGAGAGAATGGATCAAAGTAGAATGACATGGAAAGCATATAAATCTATAGGGGAAGGAAGGAAGGGTAGGGGTCGTCCTCGAAAGGGTTGGAAAGAGGGGGTAAAGGAGGTTTTGTGGGCGAGGGGCTTCGACTTCCAGCAAGCGTGCGTGAGCGTGTTAGATAGGAGTGAATGGAGACGAATGGTACTTGGGACCTGACGATCTGTTGGAGTGTGAGCAGGGTAATATTTAGTGAAGGGATTCAGGGAAACCGGTTATTTTCATATAGTCGGACT